TCGGACCGGAAAAACAAAAGCCGAGCAACACGAGCAGAGCAGAAAAAGGATCGAATAATCAATACAATCAATCATCATCCCATACATTATATCCAAACCTATCATTCATCTTAGGAAGCCTAGAAACAGTGTTTTAATCTAACAGTGTTAGGGATTAGCAGTTGCTTACACACCTAAGTTGCTTACTTTTGCTAAGACTACACTACAATAAACTTTATTATAGCCTATAACAACCTGCTCTAGCACTATAGAGTAGAGTACAGCTTAGAATATTATTTAGATACTACTTCTACTTCTTCCTTACACGTTTGCACGTTATGCCTAGTCTAATTACACTGTCTGCAGCGCCTTTAGGATTACTTACCTACTTTAGCTTACACTTGCTTCTTTATCTTCTTCCTATCACTGCGCGCTCTAACCTCCTTTAGAGCTATTAAGCGCAGGCCTTTCTAAATGTAGCTGCCTTATTAGCTGCTTAAAGCTTAGTAATTTTCTATTACGCTAACACTAGCTTATGTATAATTATTACTGCCCTTTTTAAGGCTTTTTTTCTAGAGACATTCCCCCCCTATAACCCTCTCTATACGTAGAGCGACTTGTAACACAACTAATATCTACTAGAGATTGCTACCTACTGCTGTAATCTACTGTAGTTTGCTGCAATTTACTATAGTTTACTATAATTTACTGTAGTTTACTGCAATTTGCTGTAGTTTACTGCAATTTACTGTAGTTTACTATAATTTGCTGTAGTTTACTTTATGCATTTCTTAACACTAGTAGGTAATCTTATACTAACACTTCTAGGCATTAGCCTATTATATTTAAACAGTAGTTAAAGAAGCTAAACTAGTAGTTATGTAAGTAAAACAGCTTATTAAGGTATTATATGTACTACATTAATCTTTACAGCAATAGAGAGGCAGAGGCAGAGGCAAAGGCAGCGCTAGAGCTCCCTAGCACTCTAAGAAATTCCTGTAGAAGTAACAAAATACACAAGCTAAGGCTCTACAACTAAGGCTTTAATGCTAAAACAATTAAATTAAAGATATTAGGTAGTAGTATTAGGCATAGCATAGCAGTATTAGGTAGTAAAAGGAATAGGCGCAATGTGTAACAAGGTAGGCACAGTTAACCACATAGCCTTCTCTTGCTTATAGAGGTTTAGGCTAGACTAGAGACAACTGCTAGTGCTAGTGCTAGCCCTAGCATTATCTATATATATATTATACTATGCAAGAATACTTAGCTTAAGTATTCCTATACATACCTTTTAGTACAGTAGGGAAAGTTGCATAGTATTAGCTTAGCAGGCAGGGCGTCTACCTTATTACACAACGCTAGAGACCGCAAGGTGCAAAGAGAAGAATATAAAAGGTATTAAGCAGGATACACAGGTTATAGAGAGAGAATGCAGGATAGGGGGGTAACAAGAGAGAGTAAACCTTAGGGTTAGAGGCAGAGGTACAGAGGCTAAGGAGCCTATATACCTTGTGCTAAGCCCTTAGGGTACTTAGAGGTTAGATAGCTGTAACATAACTATAATAAAGAAAAACTATTATAAGAGTAAAAACACGTTAAGAGCTAAAGCTAGCTATTATTTACATTTTTAGCTATATTAGTGTGTTAGTAATTAGTTACATGCTATAGTTAAATGTTATTATTATACATCTATTACCTATCTAATACTACTTTGCTAAGCATTATGCTGTAACTATTCTTTAACCTAGACAACCTACTTTAATGCGCTAACTATTATTGTTGCGTAAGAAGAGCACAGGGACCTTGCGTCGCGCACATAGGCTTAGTGTTGCGCCTGTGTTTTAGACAAGCAGCCTAAGACACTTCGCGTCTAAGCTCTTTATAAGCCTCTTATAGTTAATAGACTTGCTTCTTATTACTTTCTAATTAGCAGTTGCAACAATTACTCTAAGCAAGCTTTGCTTTTACAGATTATTTATAAACTGTTGTAGTATTTTATAATTATAAGTAAGTACTATCTTAGCTATTTAATGTTAATTCTTAAGTACCTTATTAGCTTTATAGTATTAAAAAGTAGTATATTTTATATAATAATTTAATTTATTTCTTTTATTTACTAGCTAAGTTTAGTTTTACTATTTAATAGCTACTTATCCTAGTTACTATGCAGAGGTATAGGCCTTAACTAAGTGCTATAGATAACTTTTATAGCTAAAGCGCTTTACTACTTTTAAAAAAAATATTATATATACCTTAAGCTAAAACTATTATATTATTAGCTAAAGCTTTAGTAAGTTTATTTTTAATAAAAATAAGCTACTACTATAAACTATTACTAGCACTACTAATTTTTAAGTTATAGCTTAAACATAAAGGTCTACTAGCTAGCTTATTATTACTTTTTTTTTATAAAGTAGTAACTAGCATAGTTACACTATTTATAATTACTACATGTTTTACTAAAGTGCCTCTTAGCGCAGCAGCACTCTAGGAACAGTTATAGGCCTAAGACAGCGCTATAGCATGCGCTACATAGGTTGTCTACTGCCCTTTTGCAAGATTATATAAAAATAGTGTTAATATATAAAGGCCTATATAAAGCTATTTAATAAGAGGATATACTGCTATATATAAACTCTACATCTTACCCTAAAAAGGCTAGTAATGCACAGGCCTATAGACTATAAGCTAGTAGGGCTAGCTACTGCTGTTCTATATGTAGGATAAAATTAATACTAGCGCTAGCTTAGTTAGCAGTAGTAATAGTAGCATTATAAAAAATAAAAGCTTTATTTTAAGTATTAGCTTTATATAATAAAAGTAATTAAAATACTATAAGCATAATACTTTTATTATTATTATTATTGTTGTTGTTGTTGTTGTTGTTGTTGTTGTTGTTGTTGCTGCTGCTGCTGCTGTTATTACTATTACTACTATTATTGCTATTATTACTGTTGTTGTTGCTGCTACTGCTGTAGTAGTAGTAGATGTAGAAGAGTGGTGGTGGTAGTAAGTATCTACAATTATTGTACAACACTGTAGTAAAGGCAGTTGCTATAAAAAGCAGTTATAATATAGTTACATAAAATAACTTTTTACTTCTTAGATTTTTAAAAAACATTATATAAATGCGTTATAGTATGTTTTGCCTAGTAAAATACTATAGTGTTTTATACCTAAAATGCTCCTAAGCAATTAGCGATTAGTTTTTTCCCTTCACCAGCTAACAGTCCGCCGTAGTTGGCATTGGCGTTGGCATTGGCGTTGGCGTTGCGTTGGTGGAGGCGTAGACAACAAGTGAGCAAGTCACGAGGTGCGCTGGCCGTGTCTGACCTTAAAGTGCCTAGACCCCACCTCCGGGCTCACTTTCCTGCCGCAATAACACTTCACCTATCCTTCACAATCGACCTTTTATGCGAATACTGCTAGCATTCAGTCGCCGTTTTTTCTTCTTTTTCCACTGGCTTTAACAAGTGCTAGCACCTTTACATTTCCTTATCTGGTTCCTTGAAAGCACGAAAAAGGATCCTATTTCACACTCAGGTCATGGCCGACTACGGAGATATCATCGGGTCCGACGACTCTGACGCAGGAGATGAACTCGAAGAGAACGCTGAAGACATGAGGCGATATTGGTACGAACCTCTGTATTACCCAATGCGCATTGGCCAAGTTCTTGACCAAAGATATCGCATCGAACACAAACTTGGTCATGGAGGCTCTTCTACTGTTTGGATGGCCCACGATAGCAAGACACAGACGGACGTTGCTCTGAAGGTCCTTGGTGTTACGGCAAGCCAGACAAATACTGAGATTGCCATGCATCGTGAGATTCGCCAGCGCGTCACAGACACATCCAGGTTCCTGCTTTCTCAACACACCTTCTCACTCTCAGGTCCTATGGGGACCCATAGAGTCCTGGTTTTCCCTTTGCAGGGTCCCAATCTTCAACGTTGTTTCTTCAGCATGAGTCTTGCCAGCCGTATGTCCATAGCAGAACAAGTGCTCAAGGCCTTGGAAAGCTTACACGATGGCAACATCGTTCATCGAGGTTTGTCATCTTTCCCGCTCCCTTTTTGTATCTCTAGCCAAATATCCATAGACTTGAGCGATAAGAACATCATTTGTGGCATGCAGCCGATGAGTCATATCAACACCGCAACAAAGTACCAGTCCCTTGGCCGTCCTAGAAAGACTCTTGTGCAGCCGCACACGAACTGGACTGGGGAGATTGTGCTGCCAATGCAGGTGCCGGCCAATCTTCTGACGGGATCAGTCTATTTGGGCGATTTTGGCATATCGATACGTGCAGGCACCCAAGTCGAATGCAAGCAGCAAACGCCTAGCTGCTGGTGCGCCCCAGAACGATTTCACAACGTAAATCCGACTGCTGCCAGCGATATGTGGAGCTTCATGTGTATATTCGCAAAGCTGTATCTAGGTGCGCTTCCTTGGTCTCCTGACGGTGAGCCCCTGGCAGAGATGGTTAAGATCTTCGGTTCACTACCCCAACGTTGGAAGGGCTATTTTTGTTATCCACAGAGAGCCAATTCATCATGGTACGATCCGAGAACAACGCCTGAAACTTCACTCGACGCACTCATTGCACGCGTTCGCCCTGATGTCGACTCTACTGAGCGCTCTTACGTAGCACATGTTCTGAGAAAAGGCTTTGCTTATGAGCCTAATGAGCGGATAACCGCCAGGCAACTTCTACAAGACGCTTATTTTCAGAACATCCTAAGACGCTACGTCAATTAAATTAACGTCCCCTTAGATTCACAGCATGTCTCTACCAGAGTTGGCAACAATTAAGTTAATTAAGTTAGGGTGAATTGCTTAATTAATTAACAGATTTAGCATGTTTTAATTAACTTAATTAACTTAATTAACTTAATTAATAAATTATGTAGTAAATTAACTGCTATATATCTTATAGATAGTCTCTAGGTCTTTAGAAAAGATAGCGTTACTATGTAAACTTTTTACTAACTTTATAAGCTTTAAGCTAAGGTGCTTCTAACTATGTAGGCTTTATAAAGCAAAAAGAAGGTTTGCCTTTATATAGAGACGCCTTATCTCTAGTAAATTACCTAGCTTAGAGAAAGTCCTCTTATAATTAGTAGCTGCTGCAAAGATACTAAGAATTATAAAAGTAAAGCATAATAAAATAAAGTCCTTATTAGCTTTTTTTATTTAGTATAGAATTAAGTTACATATAAATAAAAACTTTTTTAGTATAAGTAACTTAATTATCTAGCGCTTAAACTTATTATAATAATAAGTTAAGTAGGTGTTGTTACTTTATAAAACAGCTTTTATAAAATCTAACTAGCTCTTAGCTAGCTCTATATGTGCCTTCTTTAGCAGAGGCTTTAGAGTACTAATAAAAAAGGTAGCGTTTTTAAACTTTACTTATAAGTGTTAAAAGCTAAGGTAGCAGTTATTTAGCTAGCCTTTATATATATAAAGTTTTTTATAAAGCTTTTTATTATAATTAAGAAGCACTGCTTACACTTTATTTATGTAACTTTTTATATATAAGTAAAAACAGTAGGTAGCATAATAAGCTAAAGTGTTCTTTAACTTATATATATAATTAATAATTTTAATATAAGCTATATTATAAGTGTTACGGTCTACGGTTGGACTAGCGTAACTCCACCAGCAGTGCTCCACAATCTAGCTGGATTGGAACAGGGCTCGCTTATGGACCAGTCGGAGGACACAGAAGCAGCACTACTCCCCGCAGTAATAGAGGAGTGCGTTGTCTAGTAAAAAAATAGGCCACAAGTCTAGCAAGTCTAAGAAAGCTTATAGAGCTCTTCTTAGCAGGCTTACATAGACTTGTCTTACTTGCCTTAGCACCTTTTGTATATGTATATAGTTTCTATGTTTAACAACTTTTAAAAAGTGTATTTAATGTTTAGTTTATTTTTTATATAAACTAAGTAGCATTTAGCTTTCTAAAGAGCTATAATACTAATTATATATCTTGCACTATATATACCTCTAACTTTGTCTAACAAGACTGTTTAACCTAGCCTTTATACTACTGTATACAGGGCAAACTATAATCTAGTTGCTCTACTATCTCTTTATTAGCCTATTAGCCCTTACGTAGGACTGTACACCCTACTGTCAGCTCCTACTATCTAACCTGCCTTCTACTATAGGAATATTACTAACCTGTGTGCTTTACTAAAGTAAGGATTATAACATTAAACACTATTTTTTTTAAAAAGTATAACTACTTAACACAACCTAGATATAAATATAGCCTATATAGCCCTATTAGAGTCTATAGAAGTTCTAACCTAAAGTAAAGCTATTTTAGCAGAACAGATTAATATAATCTAGAATAACATTAAAAAACTTTAAAAGATTAGTAAAAAAATTAGTAAACTAGTAAACTTTTAATAAGAAATTATAAGCCTTTACTAAAAAATAATAGAATTAAAGAACCTTTTTAAACCTATAAGCCTCTAGGAGGCTACTAATTATGCCTATTAAATATATAAATTATAAGTAAAGCTAGTAAAAATCTAGAATATTTTAACTAAAAAAGTAAGCATTACAGCTAAAAAGACTTTAAGGCTAGCCCTTTTAAAGCTTTTTAGAGAATTACTAAAAGACCTTTACTTATTTTTTATAAGATGTTACTTTTATATGTAATATAATAAAAGAGCATTTTAAACTAACGCAGAAATAATATCTTAGATAGGCCTACACCTAAAAGGTTCTTCTATAATCTAGTTCTAGCTCTATATAGATAACTAGATAGACTTTAAAGCTAACAGCATAGCACTTACCTTTAAAACTAAAAAAGTGTTTAGTAGTGTTAAAATTTTTAAAAAAGCTTTAACAGCTATTTATAGAACTTTAAATAAGAAGAAAATTGCAGCTAATAAATTAGACACTATAAAATAGAGTAATAGCCTAGTCTAGAACTATGCAGCACACTTTAGAGAATAATTAGCTATCTATAAATAAATAGACTAAAAAGCTTTTTATTACATGTTTTATAACAGACTAAGTAAAATAGTAAAAAATAAATTTATGTATAGTTGTTAGATATGCGCACCTACTGTCAAGACAGGAGGAACGTTTGTCGAAAGCTGCTACATAGTACGAGCAATAAGCTCGAACAGTATGTTGCTGCAAATTGCTGCATTTTGCAGCATTTTGCAGCATGTTGCAGCAAATTGCAGCATTTTGCAGCATTTTGCAGCATGTTGCAGCAAATTGCAGCATTTTGCAGCATTTTGCAGCATGTTGCAGCAAATTGCAGCATTTTACAGCATGTTGCAGCAAATTGCAGCATTTTGCAGCATGTTGCAGCAAATTGCA